CCCCAATCACCACAGTGCTTGGATGAGCATCACAAGTTGCTTAAAGCCCGGTACGGTACCATCCAGTGATCAGTTGCAGAACCAGCGGTTTTCGTGACACGGGTTGCAGGAATGATGCAGACACCTCGGCGTGATCGAGGACATTTCACCCAGTGGCTGCAGTCGTGGGGTTTTGTTTGTTGGGAGAGCGAAAAACCCCAGTGGATTTTCCCTTCATATTCAATCAGATTATATCAGATACTATACACTGTACATTACTGTACCACGTTTTTTTGCATCCGAACTTGTAGATGTTGTCTTTTCCTATGGAAGTTGTGTGAAATGTGGTGGTTTCCCCTTGAAGTTGTTTGTTATTTGTGGTGGGGAACCCCCTTCATAATTACTCTGGATGGCTGCGAAATCCTGCACCAGTCGGTAGATGCTTGATTTTCATCAGGAAAACCCATTGATTATTTGCAATGTTTCATACTTACCAATAGTTACCCACTGGTAATTTAACAAAGCTATTGAAAATGTCACATTGATAATCATTTATAGTTGATTATGTTGATTTAACATCATACCTATCGCAAATCATTAAGTCATTTACATTTTACTATTTATGTCAACAATCATTTAAAATATCAGATCGCCATACTGATAATCATTTAGCTATTAAAGATGGTGATTTTCCAGTTCACAAACTGTTTGTTTACCAGAGGCTACCGGGGATTTTTTTCGTCGAGATCCAAGGAGCTGAGATGCGGCGAGATCGCAGCAGCACTCCGGCACGCCGAGGCGATTCTTGGTTATTTACAGGTATGGGTTGGTTGATCTACAAGAAGGGGGTGTATATATCTCTATATATGAATTATGGATGTATGTAATATATGAAAAACATGTATGTAATATATATATATCATACTATATGAAAACTCAATGTCGATTCATGTCGGGTGTTTCACGGTATGTGTATCCTTCCTGGCGATGCAGGTCGTGTGCACTGCCTGACATCTATTATTTGGGGCGCTGTTGCATGTCTAAGAGTCGATCATGTGGCCCATCACTGGTGCAATTGGTAGTTGGTGTCATAGCCCCAATGTCTGGAGCATGATGCCAGAAGGGTGACATCAATCTTGCCCGTGACCCATTCACAAGTTGGTTAGGTCATCTTAGGTCCATTTTGGTCGTTGTCCTCAAAGAAACTGGTACACTTAAAAAAAAAAAATCAGTCCTTCCGAAATGCCTTTAGCTATCTTTAGCTGGTGAATTTCTCAGTTTTTGTAGCTTCTTTGTACTTCATTTTCCATGTAGCCGTGCCAGATCGCTCCTCGGTGCCTTACCGCCAGCCAGCACCCTGGGCAAATGAGGTTGGCATCCCAGATGGGGAATGGATCAAAAGTGAAAGTACCAGATGACGAGTTCCGATCCGGAGAGCCACCCAAAAGTCGGATTCGAGTCGGTTTCGGGTTTCGGGTTTCGGGTTTCGGGTTTCGGGTTTCGTCGATTGAAACCAACTTTCGCTGTCATTTTCGGGTTTCGGGTTTCGGGTTTCGGGTTTCGTCGATTGAAACCCACTTTCGCTGTCGGTTTTGGGTTTCGGGTTTCGGGTTTCGTCACTTGAAACCAACTTTCGCTGTCCGTTTCGGGTTTCGGGTTTCGGGTTTCGTCGATTGAAACCCACTTTCGGTTTCGGGTTTTGGGTTTCGGGTTTCGGGTTTCGTCGATTGAAACCCACTTTCGCTGTCGGTTTCGGGTTTCGGGTTTCGGGTTTCGTCGCTTGAAACCAACTTTCGCTGTCGGTTTCGGGTTTCGGGTTTCGTCGATTGAAACCCACTTTTGCTGTCGGTTTCGGGTTTCGGGTTTCGGGTTTCGTCGCTTGAAACCAACTTTCGCTGTCGGTTTCGGGTTTCGGGTTTCGGGTTTCGGGTTTCGTCGCCTGAAACCAACTTTCGCTGTCGGTTTCGGGATTCGGGTTTCGGGTTTCGTCTATTGAAGCTAACTTTAGCTGTCCGTTTCGGGTTTCGGGTTTCGTAGGTCGAAACCACCTTTAGATTCACCAGTACGATGCCGATCTCACATCATCCAAGTGTCGTTCTCCATGCAGTCGTCAAAAACAAGAGCGGTGAGTGACAAGCGCCTGAAAAGGTCAGAGAGGAGAAACGGCAACGGTTTGGGGGAAACCTGCCAGCATCCGTAAGTAGCTGTCACTGAGTGGATTAGATTAGATTAGGTAGATTAGATTAAATCAGATAGATTAAACTAGATTAGATTAGAAATAGATTAGATTAGGTAGATTAGATTAGAATTGGATTAGATTAGGTAGATTATATTAGATTAGATTAGATTAGATTAGATTAGGTAGAGTAGATCAGATTAGATTAGGTAGATTAGATTAGATTAGATTAGATTAGATTAGGTAGATTAGATTAGATTAGATAGATTAAACTAGATTAGAATTAGAGTAGGTTAGGTAGATTAGATTAGGTTAGACTATATAGATGAGATGAGATTAGAATTATATTAGATTAGATTAAATTAGGTAGATTAAATTAGATTAGATTAGATAGATTAGATTAGGTTAGATTAGATTAGTTGGATAGATATGATATGATATGATATGATATGATATCATTAGATTAGATTAGAAATATTAGATTAGAAATATTAGATTAGGTAGATTAGATTAGATTGGAATAAGAATTATTATAGAATAGGTAGGTTAGATTAGATTAGATAGATTAGATTAGATTGATTAGATTAGATTAGTTTTGGTTAGATTAGAATCTGATTTGATTAGGTAGATAAGATTAGATTAGAATTAGATTACTTAGATAGATAGATTACGTTAGATTAGGTAGATTAGATTATGTTAGGTAGATTAGGTTAGATTAGATTAGAATTAGATTCGATTAGGTAGAGTAGATAAGATTAGATAGGTTAAACTAGATTAGAATTAGATTAGATTAGGTAGATGAAATTAGATTTGATTAGATTAGATTAGATAGATAAGATTATAAATAGATTAGATTAGGTAGATTAGATTAGATTAGATTAGGATTGGATTAGAATTGGATTAAATTAGGTAGATTAGATTAGATTAGGATAGGTTAGGTAGATTAGAACAAATTAGATAGATTAGATAGATTAGATTAGGTAGATTAGATTAGATTAGAATTGGATTAGATTAGGTAGATTAGATTAGATTAGATGAGGTTAGATTAGACTAGAATAGGTAGATTAGATCAGATTAGATTAGATTAGATTTGGTAGAAGATTAGATAGATTAAACTAGATTTGAATTAGAGCAGGTTAGGTAGATGAGATTAGGTTAGACTATATAGATGAGATTAGATTTGAATTAGATTTGATTAGATTAGATTAGATTAGGTAAATTAAATATGATTAAATTAGAATGGAATTAGATTAGTTAGATAGATAGATTAGATTAGATTAGGTAGATTAGTTTAGATTAGATTAGATTAGATTAGGTAGATAGGATTAGATTAGATAGACTAGATTAGATTAGATAGAATAGATTAGGTTAGATTAGATTAGATTAGATAGATTAGATTAGATAGATTAGATCAGATTAGATTAGATTAGATAGATGATTAGATAGACTGATTAGATTTAGATTAGGTTAGATCTAGATTAGATAAGATCTGTCCTGGGGAAGTTAAGTCTTCAGAGTCGGTTTCGGGTTTCGCGTTTCGGGTTTCGCAGTTCGAAACCCAGTTCGAAACCAACTTTAACAGTCGGTTTCGGGTTTCGGGTTTCGGGTTTCGGGTTTCGGGTTACGATCGGTCCTGGGGAAGTTAAGTCTTCAGAGTCGGTTTCGGGTTTCGGGTTTCGGGTTTCGGGTTTCGCAGTTCGAAACCAACTTTAACAGTCGGTTTCGGGTTTCGGGTTACGATCGGTCCTGGGGAAGTTAAGTCTTCAGAGTCGGTTTCGGGTTTCGGGTTTCGGGTTTCGGGTTTCGGGTTTCGGTCGGTCCTGGGGAAGTTAAGTCTTCAGAGTCGGTTTCGGGTTTCGGGTTTCGCATTTCGAAACCAACTTTAACAGTCGGTTTCGGGTTTCGGGTTTCGCTGGTCGAAACCAACTCTGCAGACCTCTCTCCGGATCACGTCTCCAGATGACTGGGGGCATCAACATCCATTCACCAGCTACTCTCAAATTTTAAGGATTTTAAAGGTACCTTTCAGGTGGGATGGCTCTTGACTCCTAGAAAATTTCAGATGGGATGGCTCTTGACTCCTAGAAAAATATGTATAGAACTGGCGTGAATGATCTGGTTATTCCAGTGTTTCTCCACTTCGTCAATGTCGCAACTGGGGATGCACATCCAGTAACCAGAAGAAATGCGAAATGCACACGTCCAACCAGAAGCTACTGTACATGTTACCAAGATATTGAGGGATACCCTCTGGTAATTTAACATAGCTATGGAAAATCACCATTTTTAATGGGAAAATCCACTATAAATGGCCATTTTCAATATCTATGTTAAATTACCAGAGGGTAAACAATGGTAAACAATGGTAAACACCACCATTGAGGCAATTTCAAGTCTTGTGACGGGAAATCTCGCAGTGGTGGAGTTTCGGGGTCCCCATCGTTCTGCGCATCCCGAGTTTCGGGGCAACATCCGCTGATTTGATATCCCAAAAAAAAGTGCAGCTGGCAGGGTCTTTTTCCCAACTTGAAGATTCCATCCTAGTATCTTCAAGTACCATGTCTATCTTGACGGGACGATCAACTTTTTGACTTCAGAAACGTCACGACGATGAATCCCCAAAGAACCAGCATATTTAGAAAGGAGTTTTACTACCTGTATTACCCAACTATTGATTCATATCCTCCTGCTCGTTGGTCATGTCCCTATTGTGAATCTTTTCCCGATATCTGTGGAGTTTGTCCTCATTTTTCTTCTGGTACTTGAATCACAATTAATCCCAGTTTTTGCCTTGTAATCCATGATAATCCAAACGTAACATGATGTAGACTCCCAAGAACTTGGGATGTTTTCCAAACAATCACAGGTCGTCGATGGCCAGATTTGTGGTCGCTTTGTGGAGACTGTGGCCAAGGTGGGAAGGGATGGGAAGGGGCCCCCCTCCCATTTTAGGAAACCTTCATGGAATGGAAATAGTGGTTGATAATGATATACTGATGACATTCATGATTTATAATGGAAAACATGTGAGCAGTATGTTTATAAACCCTCTGTCGTTTCTTTGATCCTGAACGGATTTCCCAGTTCATGGATTGTGATCATCCCCTCTATATATATAATATGTATATACATACATATATATATACATATGTATGACAATATATATATAATCATATATATATATATACACATCCTGGATGGCACAACCCCATATTAATGGTTCTTCCAATGGAATGAACCATGCACAATTGTTGATTTAAGCATGAGGAAATGCTGAGAAAAAATCAGTGGATGGAATAGAAACCATGGTAGCATCTTGTAGCATCTTGTAGCAATGGATGGTACCAGGAGTTATCTTCTACATTCTTCTACTACCTTTACATATATGATAATATATGTATCTTGTAAGCGTTGCGATGGTTCATGTGATCAATGATTATTATTTTCTACAATATATATTTTATATGATGATAAAAAAAATTTCAGTACCGGTACCCATCCAATGACCACAACTGCCTTTAGTTTATGGCCATTAACCACCTCAGAGGGGTTGAAGCCAGCAACCAGATAATGATGTGCATCGATGTTAGACGTTGGTTAAACGGCTGTAGATTTAGGGTCAAAACGAACCAGTTTCCTGAAATTTTGAGTTCAACTAATTCATGGAATATATATCTCCATATATCTCCATATCATGATCATATAGTTGGATGCTAGTGGATATCTGTCCCATTCACATCACCAAAAAAGATCCCATTGACGAGGCTGCACCCCCCCAGGCTATGCACGTGCAAGCTGCAGCGATGATGAGCTTGAAAATGATGCCTGTCACCCAGGCGTGCAGTCGACAACTGTGCCAGATATGAACGATGTCCATGTAACTTTAGTATTAAGGTACCCTCTGGTAAATGTTAACATAACTATGGAAAGATCCACCATTTTTAATGGGTAAATCAAGTATGTCTATGGCCATTTTCAATAGCTATGTTTGTTTAGCAGAGAGTATGTCTGTAGATACCATGTATATCTAATATTGTCCATGGGGACATATAGACTTCAATATATGATTGTTTTGTGTATATATTACATAATTATAGAAAAACACATACATACAGTTATATGAGTGTTCAATGGCCAAGTTCTCCAACTTATAATGGTTGTCACATTTTGGGTTTATCTCTCCTGACGATGGTTCCTGTAGATTAGACAACCCCATTCACTAACATCTCACAGCCCATATTAAACTTACATCACCCGATCCAGCAACATTCATGTGGGTAAAGCGGACACCAGAAACCATCCCCAATTTCACCAGATTTCTGCGATTTCAAATCATCGAGAAATGGTAGGTTTGTTGGTCGTTTCCACGTCAGTTTTTGTTGGTCACCATGAATTTTGAGGTTTAACCAACCAGAACCATCTAATTTCACCCCAGGCGGCCCAATTGCTGATGCAAGAGCTGGAACATCCGCAACTTGGGCGTGGAAAGGTTCCACTGGCTGGGTTTTTCCATCGTTTTTCCCCCTTGAGGTTGGGGATCTAAGCCGTTTTTTTAGATACTTTCTGGCAATGTAGTAATGTTGTAATTGTCGGTGATTTCAAGGTTTTAGTCTTGACCACAAGATTTGGGATATTTTGGGATGATGATCCAGGGTTGATTTTCATATCCAGGTCGAAATTACAAGAAAGTGGGTTGGATGCCGCTCCTAAAGGGAAAGGGAACATTTGGGAGACTTCGGGGCACCAGTTGCTATTTTTAAACAGGGATTTTTTGGACGAATATATATATATATATATGGCTATCCATTGCTTGGTGGGTGCATCCCACTTAGTACGTGGTCAAGAAACCATAGATTGTTGGGGAATATGTATTTATATATATATATACATATAGATTATTCAATATACCATATGACTTGGTGTAATATGGTTAGTAGCCACATTGCAACTGGGTCACATCCAAGTAGGCTTGTTGGTGATGACTGTAGCAGCACTAAAGACGGGGATGTTCTGAGGACGTGGCCAAAGACAGGGACATATCTAACCTCAGTTTGAATAAACGTGGAGATACCAAGTGGGGATAGAATCATATTCCTTGATACTTGTATATGAACTCATATAGAAGTAAGCAAGATGGGCATACGTTTCTGTGGGTGTAATCAAGCAACCTTGGTATTTTATGGGGGTGCCTTTCGAATACCAAAACACAGGTTTCGTCCAATGGGAATGCGGGACAGACTTGACATCCCCATCAGCCCCATGAATCCTGACTAAGGAGACAGTGCCAAAGACAATTGTCAGGCATAATAAGTTCCGAAGAAACCACCATCATTTGGGTGAACCTTTGTATCCTTTGTGCAATTACTGTAGATGGCATGGCTTTTTAAGCGTAGATGGTCATTATGCTGTTTCAGATGGTTTTTTGGTGGCTTCGATTTCAAACCATGGAACTCAGTTCCGACGTGCGAATCGGTTCCAGTAGTACTTCCACAGACTCTGCTGTCCAGTTTTATTCCGCCGCGAGGAAGTCCACTGGTATGTGCGCCCCAGAGGCTTGGAGCGGTGACTGAAATTTGGGTAGAATACCTTATAGATCTTATAGTAATAGTATATAATACCCAAAAGGGACATAAGGTAGCAAAAGTTAGAACATTCATTGATCATCGCTATTTATTAGGATATATATTCCTGTTCTATCTGGGTTGCCATATGTTGATGGAATCTTTAGACTTTAGGGACCCAGTGTATACCTTCTGAACATTCACCATGGCTATGGAAAACCATCAAATAAATATAGGTAAATCATGGTAAGTCATCCATAAATCATCTATAAATGGCCCATTTTCCATAGATCACCCAACCCCACAGCTGGGATGTTTGTGCCCCCTGCAGGCTGCTGTTTCCTGGCATCACAAGGGCGGATCAACACCGGGATTTGGGCCGCTGGAGCTTGAGGTTCTGAGATCAGTCTCGGAGTGGTCAAATTTGTCCTTTAATGAACATGATGATAAAACCATCAATCATGATGACTGAAGCATCAAAAATGGTGATAAAACCATCAATCATGATGACTGAAGCATCAAAAATGGTGATAAAACAATCAATCATGATGACTGAAGCATCAAACATGATGATAAAACCATCAATCATGATGACTGAAGCATCAAAAATGGTGATAAAACCATCAATCATGATGACTGAAGCATCAAAAATGGTGATAAAACAATCAATCATGATGACTGAAGCATCAAACATGGTGATAAAACCATCAATCATGATGACTGAAGCATCAAAAATGGTGATAAAACCATCAATCATGATGACTGAAGCATCAAAAATGGTGATAAAACAATCAATCATGATGACTGAAGCATCAAACATGATGATAAAACCATCAATCATGATGACTGAAGCATCAAACATGGTGATAAAACCATCAATCATGATGACTGAAGCATCAAAAATGGTGATAAAACAATCAATCATGGAGACTGAAGCATCAAACATGGTGATAAAACCATCAATCATGATGACTGAAGCATCAAACATGGTGATAAAACCATCAATCATGATGACTGAAGCATCAAAAATGGTGATAAAACCATCAATCATGATGACTGAAGCATCAAAAATGTTGACTTATACAACTTAACCATCAAACGCAGTAATTTAATCATAAGCATAGCAATTTATCCTCAAAAACGGAGGTTTGACCAGCCAAGTTGTGAGGATGTTTTGTTGATTCCATGATCAAACAGTGGGAATTAACCAGAAAATACCACAATTTGTGGTCATTTTAGTGGAGGCAATGATGATTAGCAAATGGAGACAATGCGGATTTTTGTGGTGCAACATTTTCCCACAACCCATATAATGCATTGAGACATCCATCCATTTCCATCCATGTCCATCCATTTCCATCCATTTCCATGATCGCTCTATTGATATTCTGAATCAAACCGCGCTGTTCAAAGTTGTTACTGGAAGACATCCTTCGCAAGCCTCAATGATAGTCCCATCACACATCATTCAGACTTCTGTGAAAATCTGGCGGATATATATATTTGAGTGTGCAACACGTTTTTGACACATGATCATTCTTGACAATTGTCGTTTCCCATTTCAAGCAATCGGGCTCAGATGAAACTGATCAGTGCGGTCGCTATTCAAATCCTTGCCATAGCTTTGCGCGAAGCTTCCAAGCCTTGTGGCGTTAATCCTATCTCCCCACCGATTGAGATCATCTGCAATTGTACTGGACAGGAAGTTGGAAAGCCTGACATTGATTGGAAGGGCACTCTGATTCTGGTTATCTGTACTTCATTTGCAGCAGGTGTAGGCTTGACAGTGATTTTAGGTTGGTGGGTGATAGGCTGGCGATATGCAGATAGACACAACTCGAGCAGACGTCGCGGGGGAGGAGTGCTTGAAATCCCTGATGCCAGGTAGGCGCATTCTCCTCTGGTACACAGACGATAATGTCTGGCACGAGGCGATGGTTGGTGTGGTAGCCACAGATCGATTGGCAGTGATATACACTCCAGACTCTGATCTGTATCTGGAGGACCTGACTTATGGATCTAGGTATGGCCCAGCGAAGGTGAAGTCACTGAATGCCAACCTCTCTCTGCCTAGAAACCTCAGAGCTCGTGCATATCGTTTCCGAGAGAAGTTGACGGATGATATCATCAAGGACGTCATCAAAAGGTCAATGGAGCTGGCTGAGAAGGAGGGACATATGCCCGCACGCCCAGTGAAGTTTGTTGATGCAGCTGGCAATGAGAGATCACTGGATGGATTTCTTGGTGATGCGGCACGTGGTGCCGAAGAGCGGCATGGCGCTGATGCTGGTGGGGGCACTCCAAAGAATGCCAGGGTTGTCAGAGCCGCTGTTGGCGACAGTGTATGGGTGGCAGCAGAACCCCTTGGAGGGCTCGTTTTGGGCCAAGAGGTGTCGCTGAATGAGGAGACCGACGTCCAATGTGGGGATAGATGCGCCCTTGCCTACCGCCAGGGTGAGTATGTCAAGGCTGAGATGGTTAGACTCAGCGAGGTAGTTGACTATGCAGCTCGGCGACGTGCTCTTTTCACTGGCCCTGCTCGAGGCGAACCTGGCAGCGTGCATGAAGCAGACAAGGCAAATGAGGATGGTGGGTCAGATGTCAGGACCCTTTGGGTTGACTATGATGAACACGGCGAACGTTTCAAGAGATGGAGAGACGTCGTCAAAGAGTCGCATGTTCCCAGCTTCGAGGAGAAGCCACTGGAAGGGCCTGCTACAGCCCTGCACTTGATCAAGCATTCTGAGAAACATGGAGGAGATCCGCGTCTTTGGCTGCAGTTGTGGGCTCGGGCAAAGCACATTGAACCAAGTGACCGAGTCCATCACGAGTTGAAGGTGCTGACTGATTGCCTGTTCTTTGCAGGAACGTTCGACCAGATCAACATCCCGGCGCTTGTCAGCATGGAAGTTGTCTGCCGGCGCATTCAGGCGATCGTAGATGCCTACAGCCATCCGTCCAAGCCATCATGGGAAAATGCCAAGATCTTCACAGGCATGGGAAGCCCGGAAGACATTGTGTCTCCAACGTTCCGCACTTATGCTGCCAAGAAGAACAAGGACGAGCTTGAGCTCTTGCAGGCTCGTCAGAAGGTGCGTGAGCTGCGTGGTGGACATGGTGGAGAAGATGCGGACGTTGGAGATGCATTGCCCTCTCGCCCTCCAAAAGGCCCCAAAGCGAAAGCCAAAACGGGGGCCAAAGGAGGAGGGGGGCAGGGCGATCCATGATGAGCATGGAGGAGGGTGAGCTTCAGCCTTCAGCGCCCTCCTCAGAGCCCAGTGTGATGAAGGCTGGCATGGAGCAGCCTGGACCCGCTGCGAAACCTAGCGGTGGTGAAAGAAGCCTGTTTCCTCTGCCATTTTTTGCATGCCCAGCCAAGAAATTTGGCTGCTCACGCCCTGTCAAGCAGCGGCGTGACAGAATTCGTCGAGCTGTCGAAAACTGCAATGAAGCTATCTTTGGTCTCAACTGGCTTTCTGGTCATCGGGACTGCATTCCGGATGGCATTTTGGTTGACGGTCTTCAGCAGCAGGTGATGGCACGTGTGGATGGTTTGGTTCAATGCCAAAAGCCCAGTGGTGCCATTGACCGCCCTGAGGCAGCACTGAGGTCGCTGCTCAAGGGAGCCTCCCCGTATGACTTGGGGATCTCCAACGAGACACTCGCGCCCTACCAGTATGACCTTGTGAGCGTCCCTCAGGATATCAAAGGATGTCCTGACCTTGTGGATGTCCTTGACGCTCATGACCGATCTTTTCTGGAGCAGGAGAGAGAGCTGATGATGAAATCCGCCAGTGAGGTGGAGAGTTCGAAGCTAGTTCCATACTGGGACCCTGTTTTGAAGCATAACAAGCGTGCTTACTACAGGTTGGTGCGGCGATTGCAGCAGATTGGGTACTTCACCTACACCCTGGACCCTAAGTGTAAGGTTGGTGTGTTTTTTGTCTGGAAGTCCTCACGGACTAGGCTGAGGATGATCACCGATGCCCGCAGTGCCAACAGGCTCTTCAAGGAGCCCCCTGGCGTCAGCTTGATGACTGGTGAAGGACTGGGAAGAATTGAAGTGGCATGCGGGGAGACCGTCTTCTCTGATCCGGACGCCATAGACGCACTTAGCATATACATTGGGTTATCTGATGTCCGAGACTGCTTTCATAGAATGCGGGTGCCACAGTGGTTGGCAAAATACTTTGCCTGGGAGCCGGTGCCAGCCTACTTGCTGGGCTTGGAGGGCGCAGTGTTAGAAGGGGTGACCTTGGGAAGATATGATATGGTTTGGCCATGTGCTGGCTCTCTTTGTCAAGGTTTTTCTTGGTCGCTTTTCTTTGCTCAACGTGCCAATGAACACCAAGCTTCACTGACAGGGCCACTGCGTGGTGCCCATCTTGCAAATGACCGAGGTGGGCCTGTGGTGCTGAATGTTGGTAAGATAGGGACGGATGACAGATATTTCTACGTGTATGTGGATAATCTGGGTGTTATAGGTTCAGACAAGGAAATGGTAGATCTGGCCATGAGTGAGTTGCAGGATGCTTTCAATGGACAAGGTTTGGAGCTGCATGGAAGTGAGGTTACCAAGGACTATGTGGAAGCCTTGGGATGTGTTTTGGAAGGGAAGGAGATGCGCAGTCGCTGCAATCCTCGCCGTCTGTGGCGAATCCATCATGGGATCAGGGGACTGCTGCGGCGTGGCAAATGTTCTGGTAAGGTGTTGGAGATCATCATTGGTCATTGCACCTTCCTGGGGTTGATCTGCAGACCCATCCTTTCCATTTTTCATGCGGTGTATCCTTTCATGCGAAAGCATTATACAGAGGTTGCATGCCTTTGGAAAACCGTGCGTGAAGAGCTTCAGGCGTTCATGGGGGTTTCATTTTTGCTGGTTCAAGACTGGTGGAGGCCCTGGAATCCCATGGTGACATCAAGTGACAGCTCACTAGTGGGCTATGGCATTTGCAAGAGCTGGTGGCCTAGGCAACTCGTTGCTGAGGTGGGCCGAATCCAAGAGAGAAGCCGGTTTAAGAGATGTGACCGTCACTCTGCCAGAGAGAGCGCACTCACAGCTGCTGGTTTCCACTTACACAATAATGCCTGGACTTTGATGGATGGAAAAACTTTATTGGCGCTAGCTGATGAGGGTTGGGAAGTTTCAAGTGAGTTTCCTGAGGTTCCGTCTGGAAGTCTTAAACGGCATTTGTGGAGTCCTGTTTCTTGGGGAAAGTGGAAACATGATGAGAACATTGGCGTGTTAGAAGCTCGAACTGTTTATAAAGCTGTGAAACGTTTGTGTATGACTAGGTATGGACATGATATCAGACATGTGCATCTGTGTGACAACCTTGGGGTCGTTTTGAGTGTTGAACGTTGTAGATCGAAGAATTTTAAGATCCTAAAGGTTGTACGTTGTATAGCTGCTTTTTGTCTGGCAAGAAACGTTCACTTGAGCGTCCGATGGATACCTAGTGAACTGAATGTTTCGGATGAGCCCTCTAGAGTGCATGACAATGCTGATTCCAAGCTGTTGGTTGATTTGGTTCGCGCTGATGATTTTGAGTCTTTTTCACCTCAAGCCTCCCGCGCACAAACTGCTCATGCCAACACGCAGACGCAAGCTGGTTGCAACACAGCCAACCGCAGCAGCACCCAAGCATGCAAAGCAGCCAGCGAGCAGAAGCCGGCAGTTGACTCTGGCATCAGAGACAAAACCAGTCGAGAGGAGGACGGCGGGAAGAACCAGGGAGTTGACCACAAGCTTCCTGACACAGCGCCTGAAGGACACCAAAGTGACTGGTTTTTGTCTTCCAAAGACAGACTTAGAGTTGGACAGCATCGTCAGGAAAAGACAGCGGCTCGAGGAGGAGGAAGAGACAGACAGTGGGAGCACTTCATCAGAAATGAGGGAAGAAGGAAAAGGAAAGAGAGATCGCATTTTGCGAAAACGGCCAAGAAAGCAACTGCAGCAGAGAGTGGATCAGCTGATGCAGCAGACCTTGCCCGGGAAGTCGCTGTTGGAGACAGCAGCCGTGTCTTCCAGGGCCAGGGAGCAATACAACATCCGCTGGCAAGAGCTGCAGAAACTGGCGTCGGCAAAGAGAGTCAGCTTCGCCTCTGCCGAAGCCGTGGATCAGATGCTTGTGGAGCTCTTCAACCAGAAGTTCATTCAGGGGGAGGGAGCTCACTACGGCGACTACGTTCTGGCTGCCTTGATGGACCAGAGACCAGAATACGGTCGTCTAGGCAGCCAGAAGATACCCAGAAGCTGGAGAGCAATGAAAGGTTGGAGAAAGTTGTGCCCATCTCGCTCGAGGCTTGCTTACCCTTTGGCTGTTTGGTGCGGCCTGAGCTGGCGGATGGTGGTGCATGGCCATGTTTCCAAGGCCTTGTTCAACCTGCTCCAGGTCTCAACTTACCATCGACCTGGGTCACTACTCAGATTGAGGAAGATGGGGCTGGTAAGGCCCACAGCTGGGGTGACTGGCACTTGGTCAATGGTGACCAGCTTGAGCGAGACAACAGAGACTTCGAAGGTGGGGGCACAAGACGAAAGCATCTTGCTGGACTCGGAGTGGCTTCAATTTGCGCATCCAATGTATCAAGTTCTCAGCCGAGGAAAGCCGATGGACTATGTCTGGGACTTCACCTACCCGGAGTATCTCAAGATCTTCAATCAGTGTGCTGCCGAGCTGAGGGTTCCGGTAGTGCCGTATCAAGCCCGACATTCGGGCCCAAGCATCGACAGGGCAACAAAGTTCAGAGATCTGGAAGAGGTCAGAAAGCGAGGGCAGTGGCTCACGCGGCAGAGTGTGATGAGATACGAGAAGGCAGGAAGATTGGCTGCAACGTGGCAGAAGCTGAGTCCCTCAACACAAGCTGCGTGCAAGAGCGCGGAGCGGTACATCGAGGACATTATGCTAGGCCACGACTTTCCAAGTATCCAACTTCCAGCCTGAGAAGAAGAAATGGTTTCATGGCTGATTTTTTTGCTGGAGCTGGTGGAGTAGCTCGAGCTGCTCGCGCTCTTGGTTTTAGCACGCGTGAATGGGAGCTACTTCAGGGAGAGAATCACGATTTAACGAAACCTGCAGTTCAAAGCAAGATCAAAACTGACATTCAAAGAGGTTTGGTTCTTGCTGCGATGTTGGCTCCACCTTGTTCTTCTTTTTCACAAGCGCGTGATCGAACTAGAGTGATCCGAACTCGTGATTGTCCCTGGGGTTTACCAAATCTCCCTTTGCATGAAGTTCATAAGTTGGAGGTCGGCAATGCATGTTTTAGGGCTGCGATCAAGATCATTAAGTGGTTGGACAAACATGGCATTCCTTGGATCTTGGAAAACCCTTCTACCAGTAAGGCTTGGTTTTTACCACCTCTTGTACAACTTGAACAGGCAAATCACACGCAGAGCATTGTGACCGACTTCTGTCAATTTGGCACCAGGTGGAGGAAGCGCACCAAACTATTGGTAGGTAACATGGATCCGGACGACATTGCGAGGTGCTGCAGACTATGTCATGGTCCCCCAGGTGGTTGCTCACGTACTCACAAAAAGCACTTTCAACTCACTGGTAGCGCTCGCAATGGCGTCCCCTGGACTCGAATAGCCCAACCGTATCCACCACAACTATGTCATCACTTGGCCTATTCTTTGCTATGTCGATACATGATGCCGACTACAACTTAGCCGTCGCAAGCGACAGCAACAAACAATCAAACAACAACACACCCTGTCCCTTCCCCCCCTTAGTTAACAATGTTTTGCTTTGGGTCATGAGGCGCTTCATCCATTTTCCTTTTTTATTTGTCAAGATGTCTTCAGCTGGCGGTCTTTGAAATTCTAACGAAAACATTGGCTTGGGAGAGGCACCTTTTGAGATTTAACATCTTGGTGCCAAGTTTCAACTCTCAGCCGAATGGCTGGTTCGTTGCTGTGACTGTGCAAGTGATCTGACTAGAAGTTTGCCGCCGAAAAGGAATGCTGAAGTGTGTCATTTGAGTGTGCAACACGTTTTTGACACATGATCATTCTTGACAATTGTCGTTTCCCATTTCAAGCAATCGGGCTCAGCCCACCGCTCCCAACCCGGGGAGAGGCACCTTTTGAGATTTAACATCTTGGTGCCAAGTTTCAACTCTCAGCCGAATGGCTGGTTCGTTGCTGTGACTGTGCAAGTGATCTGACTAGAAGTTTGCCGCCGAAAAGGAATGCTGAAGTGTGTCATATATATATATATTATGTATTATAGATAGATAGATAGATAGACAGATAGACAGATAAGATAGATAGATGGATAGGATAGGATAGGATAGGATAGGATAGGATAGATAGGATAGATAGGATAGATAGGATAGATAGGATAGATAGGATAGATAGGATAGATAGGATAGATCGGATAGATCGGATAGATAGGATAGATAGGATAGATAGGATAGATAGGATAGATAGGATAGATAGGATAGATAGGATAGATAGGATAGATAGGATAGGTAGGATAGATAGGATAGATAGGATAGATAGGATAGATAGGATAGATAGGATAGATAGGATGGGTAGGATAGGTAGGATAAGCTAGATGGATAAGATGGATTGATAAGATATATTGATAAGATAGATAGATAGATAGGTAGATAGATCGATAGATAAATAGATAGAGAGAGTTCAAGGTCGGAAAAACTGACAGGACGCCATGTTTTTATTACTCTCAAACGAAACGGGGCTTCGTTGTGACACTGTAGAAATGTCCTGAACTCGATGTCTTGAACAGCTTCAGTGCCCCGCAAGATGGGATTAAAGTACTCCATTTCTGATCGCATTTTGTAGTGTTTTACTATGTTTTACTGGATTTTAGAGATGAACAATTCGACAATTCCCATAGTCTACATAGTTTGTAAGCAAAATGATGCAGAAATGTAGAACCGTTCCATTGCCCTTTTGGTTTTTTCATCGCCCGATACATTCTACCTGGGATGCTGCTCCCAATGGTCTAGATATGTCTAGATCTCTTGGGATGGACGCCAACCAGCAACAACACCAGTTTTATCAGTTTTGGGATGTCTTTGGATTCCTGCAACATTTCACTCCGATCGGATTTTTGGGCTTTTAAAATCCATCCCATACATTTTTTGGCGTTTTTATAGAAATCCTCAAGACATCCAGATGGTTTGGGCTTTAGCGCTTTTGAAATCCTTCATTTTCGGCCAGATGAACGAGATGAATCTGGAGCGTGATCTCCAAATGCAACTCATGGAGCTTCCGGAACACGAGGCGGACCGGATGCGCGGATGGCGGGAACCATGGGGACATTTTTCTGTGCAAAACGAATGACCCAATGACCGTGGAAAAAGATATGTTGGAACATGTTAGAACCAAGTGACTAGGTCATAACAACCCAGTTGGAGTTAAGTGAACTATGATTCTGAGTCAATCTTCTGTAAGATCCGTAGAGCACTGGCTGTCGTGCTTCTAGTCATGATAGTCATGGAAGTAAGTCAGTTGTAAATGCAGTCAACCTTCTGGCTTGGGTCTCCCTAGCAATTTTGACAGCTTACTGGTGACTATATGTTTTGGCTGACTGCAACTTGACCCACTAGAAATTTGGGTTTCCATGTGGGACAGCATGATTGACCATGATTGACCATGATTGACCAGTATACCTCAATTTTGGATGATTTTGGGCGCACCAATTTATTTCAAGGTTTTCAACTTCAGACGCTTTCGGTTCCCAAATACAGCAGCTAGGGTGATCTGTTGGAAAAGCCAACTCTATGGCTTTTTCCGAAGTTCAGGTGCGCATAGCTCTCGACAGAGCCAAGACAAAGGCACTGTCAGGGTATCTTGGTCGACGAAGGGTCGAAGGGTTTTTCTTCCAGGACTAGGGGAAGAGTGAAGAGCCATGGATTTTCCCATGAAATCTGGGCGTTTCCGGTTTCAACTTTCCCTTAAACCATTGGGGAGATGCGGAATTCAGTAGTTTTCACATTTCATCTTGGTTCCAGTGGGTGAAAAACAGGTGTCCTTTTTGAGTCGACATCGATCTCACGTGTTCGCGGGCTTCAATACCTTGGGCTGTGTTGCATGTTGGTTTTTCAATGGTTTTTCAGGTGTTTTACTTAAATAGCGATACCCTAAAATGCATGAGAATCAAAACATAAGACTATGAGTACAAAGTCATTAAGTATCAAAAAAACACCAATTTACGTAAAACAACGGGGCCTCCATTTTCCCACTCTCAAACCAATTGGTTTCCTCATTAGGAATGAGCAAGTTGCCCCAAGCCTTTCCCATCTAAGGCGTCCGGACCGTTGGTTGAAGGGCTACGTGTCCCACTACTGGACAAGATACCAGGACCATCGTTCGCGAACGACGCGACGGATCACCCCTAATTGGGATCCACTTATGGCTGGATCATCCTCCCATTTCGTTCGATGATCCCATTCAAAAGGATGGAAATGGACAGCGGATGGTGCCCTGGTTTTCCAAAAAACTCACCCTGGATGCCCTGGATTGATGTCGTCAGGATAGCTTGCATCCCAGTAGAGGAAGCCGAAGATCCATTTGGTTCAGATGATTCCTGTGTAAAGATGGATAGGAATGGATAGGAGTGGTACTTAGAATATCCAAACATCAAATCCCATTTGGAATCATTTGGTACTTAAAGATCTCAAGTTCTTGAAATTCATGGGGTTGGGAAAGATGTTTCGTTAGAAACTGCCTGAAGGGAGCTGGTGTGCCATACGCGCCCGAGCCATGGTTGGTAGGTATCCCATGAATTGTGGGCTGCTGCTGGATCCTCAATAAACCAGGAGGGCATAGGAGGGCTAAGCCCGACCCTTTCGTTAAACCGTCAAGCAGCGTTTCTCAATCATGTCATATCATATCCCCATATTCTCGACAGTCAATACCCCATAAAACCACCAACGATGATGATGGTCAAGTCTCATCAAAATCTCATTCTATCGCCATTTGTAATGCTCGCCATATGTCAGCGTTCAATCCCTTGAAACTCCCCTTAAAAGATGATGGTTTTTCGTAGGTGAAGCACCGTTAAACTCCGATGAAACTTGCTCTTCATAGGGGTTTCTGATGGTTTCTTAAAATTCGGGATCCCCAGTCGTCACCATGGGTTTCAATATGTTTCAAGTCACTTAGTCATGGTGATCCATGACGACTGAATGCGCGTTGGATCGGCGTCAGAACCCCGAGAAAACGGTGGAGTTGGACGATTACCTCGTAGCCCAGCTGAATGAGCTGCCGGAAGCAGAGGTGCCAAAAGGGGTGCATCTTTTTCTGTGCTTGGATGATGATGGGAAAATCATCGACAATCATGGTGGAATATCACCAGCTGATTTTTGTTGTATACTTGTTTAACTATTTTTGTACATACACTATATACTGTATTATGAATATATACGGTAATCACATTTAAATATATGGTGGCCGGGCCAGGGCAGTCAGGCTCGGAGGTAGTATGAAATACCAGTTCTGTACGTATGTTTAAATGGTAGGGCCCACTCCGCATGTTTAAAGAATTGCAAACCACAGGGAATATATGCAGGTAAATGGTAAATGGTCCAAATATATGGTGCTGATGATTTGGAACACTCTATGAGTCGAGTTGTTAAAGTTAGACCCAAAACAATGGTATTGAGAGCGGCCTGTGGGATTGCTACACAATCATCAGATGGAAATGGTTGTACGGTACTATATGGAAATGGTTGTACGGTACTATACGATTTTGGCTTTGGTGGAAATTCCTTTCATTAAAAATTCGAACTGGGTGGAAGCGCCTGGCTAGAAATTGCTTGCTTCTCTCTTTCTTGCAAGAAATGTCCTAGGTGGAGTTCCTGGGTGGAAGTTCCTTGCTTCTTGGGCGGAATTCCTAGATGAATTCCATAGGTGGAATTTCACGGGTGGTGGTGGAAGTTGCTTGTTTCCCTCTTTCTGCGGAAAAAAAACGGTGGGATTTTTTGGGTGGGGTATCCTGGCTGGCAATTCCTTGCTTTCCTGTGTCTTGGGGAAAAATTGCCTAGGTGGACTTACCTGGCTAGAAATTGCTGGAATCTTCCTTCCTCAGCAAGACTTACCTGGGTGGAGTTTTGTGAGTGGAAATTCCTTAGTTCCCCGCTGTCTGGTTGCAAGTTACTTAGGTGGAGTTTCCTGGGTTGAAGTTCCTTGCAGTGCTCCTGCTCCTTCTTGGAGTCCTTTTTTGGAATTTAAGGGATTTGCTGGCTTCCCTCTTTCTGCAGAGAAATTTCCTAGGTGGAGTTTCTTGGGTGGGGTATCCTGGCTGGCAATTCCTTGCTTTCCTTTGTCTTGGGAAAAATTGCCTAGGTGGACTTACCTGGCTAGAAAGTTCTGGAATCTTTCTTCCTCAGCAAGACTTTCCTGGGTGGAGTTTTGTGAGTGGAAATTCCTTAGTTTCCCGTTGTCTGGTTGCAAGTTACTTAGGTGGAGTTTCCTGGGTGGAAGTTCCTTGCAGTGCTCCTGCTCCTTCTTGGAATTCCCTTTTTGGAATTTAAGGGAGTTGCTGGCTTGCCTCTTTCTGCAGAGAAATTTCCTAGGTGGAGTTTCTGGGTGGGGTATCCTAGCCTAGGTGGAGTCTTGGGAAAAATTGCCTAGGTGGACTTACCTGGCTAGGAAATTTCTCTGCAGAAAGAGGGAAGCCAGCAAATCCCTTAAATTCC